TAATAAATAATTATAATAATTAATAATAATAATTATAATTATTATTATCATTATATCGTTATTATGTATAATTATTTAATTATTAATTATAATAATTTAATTTATTATAATTTCTATTATTAATTAGTTTACTATCACTTTTCTATTATAATCACTTTACTTTTAAAGTCTGGAAAGAATTCTTTTTGATTTCTGAACTTACTATATAAATTCCATCCTATTTTTGTTCTAAAGATATTCCTGGGAGTACCAAAAGATTTTTTACTTTTATGTCATCAATTGTGATCTCTTTATCAGATTTAAAAGATAATCTTTTTCTAGTCTATATATGAATTCGCAATATAAAATCGAAATAACTTTCAGATAGTATTCTGGACAAGAAGTCAAAAAGTATACTTTTCTAGGATTATATTTCGACTACTAGAAAGGATTTTTTTTCTTTGTAGTTTATTTCGAACAGATTACGTTACTTTACTTAAAAAGATGAGTACACTTTGTAAATTCAAATGAATCAAAGGGGTGGATATAACGCGTCCGTCCCTAAAATCCCAAGCTTTTACTTTCAAAGGAAGGTGGAGGCACTCAGGATGTCGTAAATGTATATACATGACTGTTTGCGAAACGACGACCGGATTAGGCCAACGAGCAGATAAACAAGTGTTTATGGGCGAGAGGGCCAAGAGGAGGCGAGCGGCGATTCGAGATCGGAATTTGATCGCGGGAACACATCCGCTAGCGAAATCTGGGATAATTTCGCGCTCGTAAAGATCGTTGCGAATCTCACACGAACCCGTTTTCTCGACCACGACTCACGCGGATTATTTTCGCGGGTGTTGTATACGCACGCACGCACGCACGCACGCACGTGCGTACGTATGTACGTACATGCGTGCGTGCGTGGGCGTGCATAACGGATGAGAAGGCCGTTGAAACGTTCTGTAGATTATTCCGGATCGAACGCATTACGGGCGCGTAGTAAGTACCTAGTAATATTCCTTTATTGTCGAACCTCGGTGCCGCCCTACGTATTAGCTTTAATAAAACGCCGTATAAATTCTCGAGGTTTTCTTTTTTTGCTCGCGCGCGGATAGCCCGTGAGTATTTGTAACACGGGAGTGTGGTAAATGCGAAATAATAATGGTCGCCATAAATCACGCGCGGTTCCAATATTTCTATCGGGACCGGAGAGCTACGTAGGAGATAAATATAGCGCAGGTACACGATGCAGAAATGGAATTGCCATAAACCCGCGGGTACTTTGTCCCTTAGGATATTATATTGTCCCGTCCTGGGAGGAAACGAACCGATATCTGGATCAGAGTTTCAGAGAGGCGCTCCGAAGTATTATCTCGCAGGAACACGCCGTAAAACATGCATGTATTAGATTAAAGAAATATAGTCAGTACTCACGTAGAGGAAGATCATATATCAGGCTGTTACGGGCAGGGGAATGTAAGCGAGCAGGATTCAGTTTTCTCGTCGAAAATCCGACTTTCCGAAATGATCCGTTCTAATCCATTTCCGTTCTCCGCCTCGAAATTCGAGTCGCGTATTCATTAAACTGATGCGGGGGGAACGCGATATTGGAGATCCATCTCCCGGGAAAATCGGCTTTCGTTCATCCGAAGCGACGGCGGAGGTCGAGATAGGACGCAACGGGCGAACGGACGAAGGTGGGAAGGCAAGACGATTCACACTCGCGATAATAGAAACGTCGAAGGGTCCAAGTACGTAGCGCACGTAGGTATTCGCACCGATAAAAGCCGCGCATACGTTACCTCGCGCCCGCGCGCGGATGGCCCGCGATAAAGCGTCTCTTATGATAATGATTTCCGAGGCATTCGGCCGAGTGTGTATAATATACAGGCCATGTACCTAGATTGTTCGTGTCACGCGTGTTTATGCCCGAGATTGCGTTTCCGCGTGCGTTCACCCAAAATGGAACCCTCGTGTAAACTTGCATCACTCCCGAAGTGTGACTGGACGCGAACAAGCCGGAGGAACTCCGATCAATGAGTGGAGTTCTCTCTGTCACGAACTTGTTCCTGAGAGAAAACGTAGTTTAATGTATACGAATGGTTTTGCTGAAGTATCTAAAAATTTAGCTATATAGATAGAATCTGAAAATAAATTGTTTGGTTCTTTGTGGAACTTTCAAAATAATTGTGTAAGACGTTTAAACTGATTACTAAAATGTAAAAACTTTTTACATCATTACTTATCATGCTTGAATTTGTTACATATATAATTATTTTGATGATCCAAAAAATTATATTTTTTTTATCTTATCCATCTACATTTTTAGATATTTCAGCAAGATCGATTGTTTTCATGTATAATATGCCGATATTAATAATAAAATAAATTAAAACAAGAATGTTTATTGATACATGTTTTTGCGGACGTATTTCTTATGTCTCCCTTTTTTTGTTTCTATTGATCTTTCACTGTTGATCTGATTTAAATGTATTTACCGAATTTTTATATTTTTTATTTTTATGTTTTATTATTTATCTATTTAAACATTGTGCTAATTCTGATCTGATTTTATTGGCCGAAGAAGACTCTGTGAGTCGAAACCCAATTAAATATTAATATTGATTATAATTTGAAATAAATATTTTAATTATTTTTCACTTATATCGTTTTGATTGTTATTTCCTTTTATCATTGTGCTTTTTAAAATAAAGAAGCTTTTAATTGAAAGAATGTATAAACGTCGTTTATAGTTATGTAAATGTATTATTAATTATTATAATTAATAATAAAATTTCCACCACGAAATTTTATTATGTAAAATTGAGAAGAAATGTATCTTACAATTAAACGAGAATCGAATTCTAACAGGCTGTTAATTGTTCGATTGTATCGTATTAAAAAGAAATCAATGAAATTTTAGAGTAAGATGAATGATGTCAAAAGATAATTAAAAAGAGACTCGCACGTTTATAATGTAAAAGTTTTTTATTTTATAAGATGCTATTAATATAATTAATATAATTTATTAAAGTCGACTCTCTTTCTCTCTCTCTTGTTGTTTGGTGAATCGGTGTGCCATCCATATACGTTTTTATTCGCATGAAGTATAGTCGGAATATCGCGATAAATGGGACGAAAAGAAGAAACGTTTCTGCACACGCCGCAATTTCTGTGAGTCAAGCCTACGATGCTGGCGATATGAGAAAATTAATCTTACATGCGCCTTCTAGCATCAGCAATCTCACGTCACGATCTATGTGTGATCCACTTTTGCTTATCTA